TAATAGTAATTGTTCATAATGCATTCATGAGCGTCTGGTGATTCAGTCTGAAGCTCGTGTTCAGTCTCTCGAAACAATTTCTGAGTGGGGTCGCTCGACCGGAATCCGGCCGGCAATCTCCGTCTGTAAAAATTAATTACACTCGATGAGATCAGATTCAGAAGGCAGAGCCGCGTGTCCTCCGGTACGAACGTAATTTCGTAGCCGGACCCCCGGCTGCCCGACGAAACCGGACGCTGCCAAAGAGACGGGGGTAGGAACGGGTGAGAGACGGGCGGCAGGTATCCTAAATCGGTATGAAAGTTTCCACCGGGCCGACTCTGAATTCGCAGCGAAGCGATTCAACGACGGGGAGAGAGCCCGCGGGGGGGAACGGGCCAACGCAGAAGGGGAATCGGGACCGGGGGTGACGAAGGAGAGGGTGGGACTCGAGTGAACGACTCGAAGACAATGCAATTATTCGCAATTACCGCGTCCGTCCGCGGTTCGCGGAATTATCCCATTCTGTTTCCATTACTGGTACCGTCATTCCTGCCGATTCGCCTCTCCATCCCGCTCATCCCCCGACCGCACGTAAATTCGTGCACGATGCCGCGTCGATGTAAGGCGGTGTCGAACCGTCGAAGGAATTCCGTAGGGAATGTGAATACAATTTTGGTGCGCGCTGATGGGGTGCTTTTTGAAAGGCCTCACGTTTGATAGAGCGCACAGAATTTAAATTCAGCGTGTCGAGGTCTCAAGCTTAGTATTATAATATACGAGAAAATTAAATGATTCATTAATCTGATAAATTGATTAAGAAGAGGAATTGTTTGCTTTCGCTCCATGCAAATGTCAATGTCTTCCGAGAGAGACCAATATGATGCTAAAGTTACTTTTAATCTTGAAATCAATACCATAGGTTTTTCTCTATGCGTCTTCATGCTATACGTAAACGGAATAGCACGCTGGTAGATCGTCACCGAAAAACGTAGGGGCGGTGGAGGGATTCAATTACAAAGCCGTCGGGGCTTCCTTCTTTTTCGTCGTCAACGTGGCTGGGCTCGTTAAAGATTAACGTTCTCCGCACGGCACGGCATCGCGTTCACGGTTTCAAGGGCCGGAACAGGGCCGGCTAATGTAACAAAGGAAATCCGGGCGACGAGGGACGAAACCTAGTTACGCGGCGATCTCTCTTTCCCTCTTGAAATGGTCTCCCCTGCAATTCGACCACGAAAGTTGATTCTCAAAAAATTCCAGTTCTGTTCTTGTTTCTATCAGAGTCGATCTCGAACTGAGTTATTTAGAAAAAAATCGATTTATTGAAATGTAGAGGAAGGTAAGATTTTGCGAGGACGGGAGAGTTTCTGAACTATCAGCATTTAGTAAGTGGTACACGGTTAGGGCGCAGGGTATTAGGAGGAATGGGCGGCCAGTAGAAGTTGGGCTATTGTTCTAATTTAATCATACATGCCAGAAACAGCGAAGATAGTGGTGCAATCCTGTAGCGACCCTAGCGAGCAATTCACTATCTCCGACACACACTGGGATCCTTATTCCCTCCGAAGATCCGTACACTTCGCTATAGTTTCTCCGTGCAACACGTTTTGATTCTCGAGAAATTCCAGTTATCTAGCGAAGTACAGAGGCACAGGCATACGAATGAAAAACGTTGTGTGCAAGAAAAATCGTCAAGATCTCTGCGTTCGTTTGGCGCATTTCTCATTTCCTTTTTTTCCCATTATTTTTGCATTCCAGTACATTAAACTTCCGACCGTCCCTCGGCGATATTTCTATTGCGATATAATATCGAAAATATCACCGAGAAGAGTGGAGATTCGCGGCGGGTATTAGAACATTAAATCACAGGCATAAAGCTCGAAGATTTAAAGTAGGTATTAGGAACGCGGGATTCGTGGCCAACTACGAAATTCAAATTAGGTATTAGAAATGTTAAATTGTTGAACTTAGAGAGGAAAATTTAAACCGGGTATTAGGGGTAGAATCCGAGAAACGAGTTCCGATTTCCTTCGAAGCATTTCCACTGAAAATAGTTGTTGCGATTTTACGTTCTCTTTTTTATGGTCTTTTGAAAGAAGATTATTGATCTCAAGAGACTCGGAGTGTCTCCGATGATCAAAGGGAGCGAAAAAGGTTAAAAAAATAGTAAATGGAGAGCCAAGGATCGATACTTGATGTTTTAACACAGAGAGACTTCTTGAACGATGAGGAAAAAGACTGTGAAGGATGACATTATACGATCGGAACAACTTGAGCCAGGGACACACGATAAGCAGTATTAAGGGGAATAGGCACGTCATTAGTCAGACATCGAAGCGTAATAACACATACACATTTGTAACAATATTTTACCGAGTACGAAATACGAACAACTGTTTTTAAAGTTTAAAACCAGACGAAATTGACGTTCGGCCCTTTAAATTCATAACTGCAAACGTAATTAAAATTTCAGCTTCGGAGCTTGGCTTACCATTATAATTTTACGTCATTTTATTACGATAGAAAAAGTCGTCTCGCTATTCTTTAACGAAAGAAGTTTTAAATGAGCCGAATGTCGGAATTGACTTCAAAGGACCCGTGGAAGTCCGCCGCAGCAAGTAGCAAAGCAGAGTTCAAACGTTACGAAGTTTCAACTTCTAATTCGTGTAGAGTTCGTTAGTTTACCAAGTTCCGTCGTCCCCTTTATCAACCCGCTACTCACTTGTTCACTTTGACGTACCAATTTGTTGTAATCGCAACGGCAACAGTCACGTATAGACCAACTCTCCTAGTCCACGTACCTAGACATCGATACCCTTCAATTTCCGTTTAACTGCAAAAATTTTAATAAAAACCGTTAAATATTTCGTTCATACGCGTAGCAATATGAAATTTCAAAGCTAGATTGTACAGCTGTTTGAAACGTTTCATTTCTCTTAATACACTTCAAACACACCTTGCATGATGGAAATTCAAACAATGTATCGCCGCTTTGAATCGACGCGACGCGAAGCAGCGTGGCGCGACGCAAATATGCTTTGAAACGATGACGGTGCAAATGCGATGATTTATCGTGGCATCGGAACGATCATCATGGGATAGCGAACGCGATTCGATTTTGGGGTCGTCTCCGGTGGGACCGGGGAGTCTTTGATGTCCGATTTCATCGAATCACGCCCGCGGAATACGCTCGGCGAGGCGAGGCGAGCAAGCGATTGACGTGAATTTCGCGCGCGCGTTCCAAATTCGCAGCGTTATTTCGTATATACATATGTTTAAATAGACTCGTATGTACACGAAAAATTCTATGAAATTTTACCCCTTGACGAAATCTCGGAAAACTTGAAAATTTTTCTCAAAATTTCGAAAAATGCTTCGAACAAAAGTTGTAGGTACTGCTGTTATCTACAAGAAAGGTCTTGTACAATTTTTTTCAATCCCGAATACTTCAGGAGTAATCCTTCCACGTAAACTTCAGTTAATGAATCCCACGTCTTTTTCGGTCATTCAGACGGGATGTAGCGTAAAATTAACATGGCACGATGAAATTACGGAAAAATTAAGAGATTAATTCACTACGATTGGGAAAGATTTGCCTTTATTTAATCAAAGTGATTGAACGAGTATTTCAATTATTACTGTTTATCAGATTTCGGAACTTAAGACAAAATTTTGTAACTTCTGCTCAAAAAGAGTCATCCAGTGAACAAGGTATTCTATCCTACAAATCGAGTGTCATTCAGTTGTTCACAAATTTCAATCGTATTTTAATTAAAATATTTATGACGGACGTCGGATCAGGCATAGGCTTATATCACTTGAAGGGCTGAACGATATTCCTGCTTCCATTCTAAAAAAATGTAACATCATGACTCATATTGGTTTTATAATAATCCATAGAAGAGTCACGTTATTAGCATACAATTGTTTTCCCCTTTTGAAAAAGAGAAATTGGTTTACGTTCGTCGCTCGTGAACAGAAGGCAATGGGGATGGTGAACGCGCACTTTTATTAGAATTTTGATTGCATTGCGCGATAAATTCTCATCGGTCGAAACTCGAATACCGTTTCTCTGTTAGAACGGTGTCATCACGAAGAATTTCAATTTTCTTGCTACGAGAGCGGTGGAAGCATGCAAGTGTGGGATTACTCGTTGCGTTCGCGTCAAAACATGTCGAAACGAAACAGAGGTATTCGGATTTAACTGCGAACACTGAATGGCGAATTTCATCTGTGCGATCATTCTTATCTTTTCATTCTCCTTGTACTACCCCTTAATCTTAAATCTTCCATGATCATCACCAAATCACCAAAAAATCTTAAATGAGATACAGGAGATTTATGTAAAGTACTTTATATTTTTCAATTCAAACTTGAATTGAAACGTGAATCTAAATTATTTTGAAAAGGACAGTAAATAGCAGTAAATATAAATTTATTAACAATGATAAACCATAAATTTCTATACATGTTTTATGCAAGAGCGTACACCTGTCCTTTCAAACGTGAACCTCATCGACACGGAGCACTGAATTATCACGAGCGAGTACCTACGTAAGAATTCATTGAAACGGTACAAAAAAGAGGGTACCCTACGGTATCAGTCATGGTTTGTTCGAGTGACGACGCTCGATCGGGAAAATTGGAATTGAATATTTAATTTCATGGTAATCGCGTCTTCGAGGGCACTCGATGCTGTAAAGCCGGGGAGTAAAAGGTTCTTGAATCGCACAAGATGTTTCCATTAATTGTCTGAAAGCAGGTGTGAAAAGAATGCTTTATCCTCCCTTTTGTTTCATCTTCTTTTTTTAACCGAACTGCTTTGCTTCGTATAATTGAGTACGTTCTTTCATCTTTCAAGAATCTTGTCAGTCACTTCTATATAGACGAGATCGACAGCGATATCGTTCGTAATTTAACTTATTGTATTAATCAGAAAATCTATTAGAAATAAATGACTGAAACCTCGGTCTTGATTATTTTTCCAGCAACAACAACAGCAGGCCCAGCAGCAGGCCCAGCAGCAGCAGCAGCAGCAGCAACAACAACAGCAGCAACAGCAGCAGCAACAACAACAGCAGCAGCAGCAGCAGCAACAACCGCAGGCTAACTCGCCGAGTGGCGGAAACGTTGGTAAAAGCAGTCCGTCACCGGGAAATTCGGCGTCCCCTACCGTGACGCCGTCCAACAAGTCGCAGACAGAACCGAAACCGGTCGAGTGCAATTTGTGCCATCGGAAATTCAAAAATATACCCGCGCTCAATGGCCACATGAGACTGCACGGTGGTTACTTCAAAAAGGTAAGCTTATTTCGTTCTCCAGATCGTTCATGCTTGCCTTTTTGTATCACGAGGTTGTCCCATCAATAATGCGGGGATTCCGGTAAATTGAGAATGAAATATGAGAATATGTAATGTACTAATATTGTATGATGTCATGTGACTTTTTCCCATTTAAGTTTCTTTATTATTACATCTTATCAAGTATAAAATAATGCGAAAACTAAATTGTTCTGAGAGACACGTAAGAGACGCTGGAATCTAAAGCAGGAAAAATGTTATGTTGTAATTGTATATCCTCGGGTTCGATTTCCTAAGAACTATTCTGTAGAATTTGTTGTAAAATTTCACTGAGGCACTTTGAACGCGACGAAAAAATTCTGTTATCGGAGATCCCCGCCTCTCAATCTCGCCTCTCTATCCAGATCAAGGTAGAGAACTCCGTCCGAGCGAATTCCTTTCAGCGTTTCCCTATAAACGACACGCCGCCGCCGCGCCGCGCTGTTCGTTAAGACATTTTTAATCAGTGCTAAAAGAAGGAAGGGGAGAGAGGCGACAGGCTAAATCAGAAAAGTTGGTGGAAAAAGGCGGGGGAGAATCGCTGATCTTTCTATTCCGACGACTGCGACGGCCCAGCCTTCTTCCTTGACCTTATTAAGAGCTCCTCTGTTCAAACTCTACGCTCACGGAGAGCCAAGAGAAACAGAGAAAAGATATGAACTCGAACAGATCCACCCTGAAGATTCCGTCCCTGATTTCTTTCCGCTCTTTTTTTTTACGCCGCGACGATTATCGCGCGCTGATATCCGCTGCGAGGATGTGAAAAGTTTCAAGTAGCAGATGTTAAACTCTTTTATTACATTAGTGAAATATTGTTTTCATTGCTTCGACTTTAATCACATGCAATTGCGATTTATGCTTTTCCAAATTCAATACATTTGTGGGTCATAATTTGAAATTCTTGTTACAAAAATTGGTATTTTCTCGATGATAAATCTTATATTAAATTATTTACAGAAATATTATAGTGTTAGATCAGATGTCAGAACTAATACCGTCTTCTATACCAAACAAATGTATTAAATTTGCAGTTCTTCTTTACTCGAGATCCTTCGGATTTCACCAGCAATTTCTCAGTTTTCCCTTTCCGTTCCCGAACCTCTTTGCATTCGAGGAACATCAAACGGGACCGGGAGAAAGAAAACAAAGGTTAGAAACCATTCGACGGGACAATGAGTGAAACGAGTGAACGAGAGAGAGAGAACGCGGGGGTGAATGGGTGGGGTATAAGGCGACGATCGAATCCAAATGAACCTATTAACAAGCTCTTTGCTTCCACGGCGTGGCGGCCAGAGGGAAGATTGGGTGGCGGCACCACCGAGTCGAAGAAGCCCGCGCAAACATTGTCTCGAGCTTTCTCCATTATGTAGATTGAATCTGAACCGGTTACCGGCTGGCTGCGGGTCTTCACCACTTTTCAATTCGTCACTCCTTCTCGCTGGCTGGGCCTATCGATTCACAGGGTGTTTCCACGATTCGAAACGGTGCATAGATTCACGAGCACCCGCGATTGATTTAACATCGTCATATTTCCTCCTGCATGCATTCGATGTTCTTTGCATGAATTCATTCAAATTGACGAGATATCAAAAATTAAATAGGCATGACAAGATTTCAAGCATCTCTTGATATTTATTCAAAAATTTTCTATCCGTGATTTAATGAATCACGATTGACTCAGAGATCTGAAACATCATTCCCGTATTACGGGTCACCCTGTACGGGAGGGCGAGTTTGATCCACGCTTATCCGGCGTATCTAGTTTCACGTGCAGCCTTCCGTTCATGCGACCGCGTCCACCGGATCCATTCATTTTGATCTGTGTGTACATACATTCATATTCATGCCCGTGACTGGGCCTTTATGCTCGTCGCGACCCTGTTCACGATCAGGCATTAGAGAGAGGTGCACGACGCGTGGCGTGTCGTGCACCCCGTCACTGTTCAGGGACACCCGGTGAACGTTCACGGTTCGCGAACTGAGAACAGAGGCGTGAGTGCATTTAGATATTTGTAGCGTACTACGCGTACTCGTGAATGCTCGGCGTTCGCGCGTCGTTAATGGGTTTCCGGGGATGGATATACTCCTGGATCGTTCGTCCATCCGGTATATTTTTTTTTTTGCCATTGCCTTGTGAGCAAAATAGGAATTGGCTGAAAAGATTTAAGAGGCTTCATATTCGTGACGCGACACATTCATCGAGCGTTCGTGATTTTTATTTTTATTTCGCTAGACGCTTTTTTGTACAGTTGCATGAATCGATCCTCTAGTAAAACGAACGATACGACGGACGATACCGTGCACAGTTATTAAGCAGTTTCGATGGTCTGTAATCCAAGCGGATCCGGATTTTGTTCTCAGTTCGATGGATAGGCAACCGAACAACACCTTCGCTGAGAAATCGCCAGTTTTTCGAAATACCTCCAATACGACGCGTGGAAATTTTCAGCTGACTGCGATTTAAAGAATTATCAGAATAGGTGCATGCCAAATGGGATTAAGGGATTCGTAGGAATTTCTAACTAATATGAAAAAAATCCGGAGTGATTACTCTGGTAGTTAAATATTTTCACGTGAGTTGCGTAAATTCCGTAGCCCTGTGTTTCAATTTTATCCGAATAGTCACATGAATAGAATTCGGATGGTGTTGAAACGTGAAATACAAGTTACAAATGGTTTCCCGGAATTTTGCATAATATTCATTAGTCCATACCTACGTTTGCTGCTTTTAATTTAATTCCACTGTGACTCATTGTTAGTTACGGAAAAATAAAAGTTTTAAATAGAAATACGAGGTGAAATGTTGTTGAAAATTTGAATTGATTATTCTCATTCCGGAATTATATCCTCTAGGAAACATTCTAGTATTCATGTCGTCAATGCGGGATCGTTTCATTATTTAATTCAGCAATAATCCTGTATTATTCACGTCATAATAGAAGGTCGAACATAAAATAATCGTACCTACCAATGAAACAGAATATACACGTTATGCCACGATTTTAAATTACCATAAATCAAATAACGAATTCGGTTGAAATTATCGCAGAGTTCTAATCAATATTCCACAATCCCAAATAGACGTGTCGTGTTAAGTAATGTCATACTGTTATTTAAATGTTAATTAACAACTGCGATTACCCTTTCCATCGGAAAAGTGAAAGGATTCGCGAAATAAATTAAGAACAACTTCATAACAAGTACAGTTCATCTGAATCAATTCTTAAACGAATTCTTGTTAAAAAAAGGAAATAAGAAATTATTGAAGAAAGATTGGAACGCGCATATTTACACGCACACGAGAGAACTCTTCGCGTTCGAGGCTGGAATCGACGCGGATCGAATTGATGAATCGTAGCCGGGCGAACGTTCCGCAATCAATTCTGCGCATTAACAGCCGCCGATCAATATTTGAAGCGAGCGCGGCACACCACGTCAAAGGCAGGGTTCGATTTCGCGGCAGATGATATACATATAATACAGTCAACAGTAAAAATACGAATTTCGAAAAACAGGCCTATATAAGGGTCATTGCTTGAACAAGTAAATCGATATGAAGCATTATAATGATTTTATTAAAACGTACTTAGTACATAATGGGGATTGTTAAATGAACGTATACTTGCATCTTAACAAATCAAAGTATATTATCGTGAAATCTTATAATATCGATGATCAATAAACAATGACATCTCTTACTGATCCACCCCCGTGTATAAAATAGTCGTGGGCAAATACTGCCGAGGTATCGGATAGGAAATTGAGGAGTCCGATGACGATCAGTGATTACCGGCGACAATCCGGCCCACAGAGACTCTGTCTTGCTCCCACGCCATTAAGGTTTCATCAAGATGATGATACGCTGCATTGCCGCATATCACGGTGATGTATGGTTCCTCGAAAGGGACGAAGATCTATGCGCGTCCGCCATGGGCGCATGTACATATATGCTAATTGCCGCGGCTGCTACGTAGGACTGGCACAATTAACCCCTTCGTTTCATCGGGTCCGTTGATCTGCGAGCCGACGCGATCGAAGTATCCAGTCGCCGCGACGGGGGACGAGTTTCCGATTAACCGGTCGCGGCGTGATGTACGGGACGCGGGTTACGGCTCGCATGGGGAATATTCGACACGGGGGTTGGCTCCGAGACGCGTCTGCTCGGGTAAGATTTGTTGAGGAAAGGGGTGACGCCGGTGCGTCCGTGATTAATGACCTTTTGTTTGATTAAAGAGTCTTCCATCTCGTTAGTAGTACGTAAAGTAAAACGAATTAGGAATTAACAGTACAACTAGAGATCGTATAATAGCCTCCTACATCGTACTGATTTGGGAAAGCATTTGAAATATATATGTTGAAAGTATTCTCATCGGTAGAAAGAAATCCAGTCGTTTATATTCTTGATTCATTCGCGGTATAAATAATATGTGGAACAAAAAATCACTTACGTCCTCGCCATAATCTAGAAACTATAAAGACATAAAAACGTTCGTCGATAAAAAGAAAAGAGGCCAATGATACGGGCCACTATTCGCTCTGGTTACTACTTTTCCACCATTTTCCTACTCCGCCCGGATCGTTCTTCATCTGTCATCTTTATCTTCCACCCGCTCTCCTTGATAATCCTGCCTGAAACGCCTGATCTCTTCAATCTCATTCCACGAGGATCTCCCTCTCCTCCCACGGTCCCTTTTTCATGTTACTTTTCCGCTGGATTTCCTCCCTTTCTTCATCCGCTTCGCCCCCTCCGGCCGCGCTTAAGCACCTTCTAACATTCTAATCGATCCGTGCCGCGTAACGAGCGCCGGTAAAATTAGATCCTGTGCGATTCGCGGGCCGTACGGGTCAAACGAGATCACGTTACGCAACGAAGTATCATCCCCGATGACTATGGCGTTTAACGAGATTCCTGAGATAAGCTCAGACAGACGTCGCCTTATGTCATACTTAGAAATTCATAGTCAATGAATAACGACGTATATTTTAATAAATGTTCACGATTCGTCGTTATTTAATGTTCTGCTTTATTTCAGGATGCCGAAAACAAAAAAAACGAGAAGAAAGAGGTCGTCGGTCCGCCGTTACAAACCGCGTCCGTCAGTGTAAGGGCGCTCATCGAGGAAAAGATCATACAGAAAAGAACAACTGGTAAGTTATATAATTTAGTAGTTATACGCTATTGAAAAGTAGTACATTTACGAGTTCATTCATCAAATGCTTGATCATTAAAAAAGTATAATGTCGAACGAGAGTCGGAGCAAATTTCTGGCCAGCACGATTCATATTCCTATCATATGTGGAATATACATAGACGTGATGTTAAATAACGTGGAAATCCAAAGTGTCTGCGGAACACACGATGATTTATGTGCCCCGGAAACGCGTATCTCGATTCGACTCGCGTCTATCCTTATCATTGTCTGCCCCGTCTCACCCCCTTCCGCTCTCCACGGATACGTTTCGCGAACTCTGTAGTCATAAGGAGCAGACCGAGTTATATTAACTGTCGAGTTACATTAACTTTCCCTTAGACGCGTTCACGAGTCTGACGTGACATCTGGTTACATAGAACCCGTCGCGTCGTTCAACGTTGGCTCTATGTACACTCGCGGTACTTAAGACCGGAACTGCAGTAACTTGGATGCTCACGAAATTCCCTGGCAAACTATAATAAGGGAACGCAAACCGGAATTATACGTATAAGACGTGGAAAATAATCGGCCATCTCGGAGGGAATTGTGCGAGGGACCGAAGCAGTTGACTTTTTATCGCGTACTTGTAAATTTGCATAGTAGGAGAACAACGTATTGAATTTCGATCGTGGGAAGATGTTACACGAGTTAATCCACGATCCTTGGCACGTATCGGTGCGGTACGAAAGGGAACACGAGCCAGTACACTTTTTAACCACCCAATCAGCGTTTCGTTTTCGCGGGAGAAATATTAATCCGATCGGGGTCGTGGCCGGGACGACGCTGAGAGCACAAAATTCGCGAGCACGATCCCGATGATTCATGCGATCCACGACGTACATATCTCAATCCGAGCGTATCTCCACTCCACCCACAGGCTCCAGCCACCCTTTCCTCCTTGCCCTTCTCTCGTCGTATCTGTATTTCCTCTCTGTCTGTGCCCGTCCGTCCGTGGAAACGTGTACATTTGCCAGAAGCTCGACGCGTTATTCCGACTAGCAGCGGCGCGAGCGCAACGCGCGCGCCTCCTCCTCTCCTATATGGACTGCCGAAGAATTGTGATTTACGAAGCGAGCACGCCAGAATATTTCTCGCATTGTCCACGTTCGAGCGATAAATCAAACCGCGCCGCGATGGCCCCCGGGGGTGGCGCGAAAGGGTGCGCCCGCGCTTTTGTAACAAAGTGCGCGTCGTTAGCGATTTATGCGCTATTTCGCTTGCCAAGAGCGGGACTGCTGTACGATTCTTTCGCGGAACACTGGTTTCCGCCCCCTCCCCCAACCCCACTTCAATTAACGCCGCGACTGCAAGACGCGATATAACCCACTCGCGGTTCTTTGCAGGAATTCTTCAAATTTATTACTCCTCGTTTCTTTAACTCTTCTGTTGCTACCTACGCGAGTGAACAGCCGTTTGTTTCGTCAGCAATATAGATCTTCTCTACAAATTTTCTTTGCACGAACGAATGTGCTCGCCGTAATGACGTTTTCATAGACTTTGATTTTCGACGTTTATCTCAAGAAATTCTATGAGAAATTCTGTGACTGAAGCCCGTTTACTGTTCGGAATTAATATCGACGATTTTTGACGGTTCGGGCAAAATTTTCGAGCAATTGCTGACGTTCGCGTATAACTCGATGCTCGAGTGCATCGGTGCAATTCAACGAGAAGTACGGTAAGATTACGGCGCTCGGCCGGAGGACCGGTAAAATATCACCGTTATCTGCTGATCGTTGCGAAAGTTTGGCAAATGGCTAAAGAATATGTGCCATAAAGAATAGTTTAAGAGTTCTCCGTATGATACATACCTGATCGTAAAATCGGCCACCGCTTCCCGTGTACAATTGATTAAAATAAAATGTTTCGGTAAACTCTTCTCACATATTAATGAACACCGATGGCAGAATTTATGAAACAAATATATTTGTTTCATTAACTATGAAAATTTTAATTTCCTGCGTTAATACGTAACACGTATAAATGAAGAAAATTTCCAATGAAATTTAAATGAAACATCGGGATACCGGGGCCAGTTAATTGCTTCCAGTGATCAACAATTTTCACCGGATTTAATCAGTTCGTTTTAAATCGGTAATCTATAGAATAAAACTACGCGTCAGAAGCGCGTTGCGCAAAAATCGTGTTTGAATATAAAACGTGTTTAAAAACTAGACAGGACTTTGAAAGTCTGTAGTTTATTTGTGACAAAAGAAAATCGAATCTATCAGGCGAACATTTCCGCGCCTCAAACCTTGTCCCCGGCGTATGCCAGAAAAACCGCAACGATTTCCGCGCGGCAAAGTACGAAAACAACACCGAAGAGAGAGGAGGAACTCGTGTCCTCGCTCCGGACCAGGGAACAATCTGCTTTACCGCGATCAATGCCTGGCAATTTGCAAAAATCCCCGGCGGTTTCCGTCCGCGTGGATTTACGTCGTTACGGGGCCGGCGCGAACGCGTTGCCATCAAATGGATTTGCGGTTCGCATAAAGTTATGCGTGCGGAGTCGCCGGTTGAAAAATGCAACCCGCGTAACGTCCGCCGAGGCGCGGCGCATAAATTTTGTCAATTTTCTATGAAATATTGATTTACCGATCATGCATCTTCCATTTCTGATGGAAATGCGAATTTCCGAGCATTGGTCGAAACACTTTTAATTATTTAGAATCCATAGCTGTTTTCAATATCAGTCAACTCTTTCGTACGACGTTTGCCGTTATTTCAGCAAGGGTGAAAACTAATTGAAAATATACTTGCTTTGTTACATTACGCTTACGCGGAGAATATTGCATGGCCTCGCTTCCAGTTAGTTTTAAATTGTTTGAACGGTCCTCCAACGTGCTGGCTACAAACATATAGTTGAGGTTTGTTTGCGTACTCATTGTTCTTTCCGTTCCAATAAAGATAAACTAATAGATCTTCTCTACAAATTTTCTTTGCACGAACGAATGTGCTCGCCGTAATGACGTTTTCATAGACTTTGATTTTCGACGTTTATCTCAAGAAATTCTATGAGAAATTCTGTGACTGAAGCCCGTTTACTGTTCGGAATTAATATCGACGATTTTTGACGGTTCGGGCAAAATTTTCGAGCAATTGCTGACGTTCGCGTATAACTCGATGCTCGAGTGCATCGGTGCAATTCAACGAGAAGTACGGTAAGATTACGGCGCTCGGCCGGAGGACCGGTAAAATATCACCGTTATCTGCTGATCGTTGCGAAAGTTTGGCAAATGGCTAAAGAATATGTGCCATAAAGAATAGTTTAAGAGTTCTCCGTATGATACATACCTGATCGTAAAATCGGCCACCGCTTCCCGTGTACAATTGATTAAAATAAAATGTTTCGGTAAACTCTTCTCACATATTAATGAACACCGATGGCAGAATTTATGAAACAAATATATTTGTTTCATTAACTATGAAAATTTTAATTTCCTGCGTTAATACGTAACACGTATAAATGAAGAAAATTTCCAATGAAATTTAAATGAAACATCGGGATACCGGGGCCAGTTAATTGCTTCCAGTGATCAACAATTTTCACCGGATTTAATCAGTTCGTTTTAAATCGGTAATCTATAGAATAAAACTACGCGTCAGAAGCGCGTTGCGCAAAAATCGTGTTTGAATATAAAACGTGTTTAAAAACTAGACAGGACTTTGAAAGTCTGTAGTTTATTTGTGACAAAAGAAAATCGAATCTATCAGGCGAACATTTCCGCGCCTCAAACCTTGTCCCCGGCGTATGCCAGAAAAACCGCAACGATTTCCGCGCGGCAAAGTACGAAAACAACACCGAAGAGAGAGGAGGAACTCGTGTCCTCGCTCCGGACCAGGGAACAATCTGCTTTACCGCGATCAATGCCTGGCAATTTGCAAAAATCCCCGGCGGTTTCCGTCCGCGTGGATTTACGTCGTTACGGGGCCGGCGCGAACGCGTTGCCATCAAATGGATTTGCGGTTCGCATAAAGTTATGCGTGCGGAGTCGCCGGTTGAAAAATGCAACCCGCGTAACGTCCGCCGAGGCGCGGCGCATAAATTTTGTCAATTTTCTATGAAATATTGATTTACCGATCATGCATCTTCCATTTCTGATGGAAATGCGAATTTCCGAGCATTGGTCGAAACACTTTTAATTATTTAGAATCCATAGCTGTTTTCAATATCAGTCAACTCTTTCGTACGACGTTTGCCGTTATTTCAGCAAGGGTGAAAACTAATTGAAAATATACTTGCTTTGTTACATTACGCTTACGCGGAGAATATTGCATGGCCTCGCTTCCAGTTAGTTTTAAATTGTTTGAACGGTCCTCCAACGTGCTGGCTACAAACATATAGTTGAGGTTTGTTTGCGTACTCATTGTTCTTTCCGTTCCAATAAAGATAAACTTTCGTCTCGTTTCGAAATGCACAATATTCCCTGTGGTAGTGTGCCTTTATGTTATTATTTTCTTTGATCATTGTTACAATCAATACCGAATCTACCGCTGGTAATTTAAAAATCAAATGACTCGCTCGCTCTTTAATTAGGCATCACCGTGTAAATAACTGTGTAAATTACTTTTTCGCGAGAGCAAAGCTCGCACAATGAATCGTTGTAATAAAATATCGTTTTACGATTCTGTATTAATAAAAAGTGAAATAAAAAAAGAGAATATTCAGCGGTACGTTGCCGGTATTACGCACGACAAATTTCATCAGGATCGATCGGCCGCCCTTTGCCCCGATTTCCATCTCCAACGTCCGAACAAAAGCGTTTACAACGATTTCAATTCAACCGGTGCTCGTAGACGGATATTAATTTCTTTCCGTTGATTTATTAACAGCCTGACAATGAACTATGAACTCTGAACCGTTGTAGTTATTATTAGATCCTTTCAGGTCCTTTTCCATTTTTTTTTCAATCGATCATTGTCTATTTTTCATACATCCTTTTATTCACATTCTCCATTTCATGTCGACGCATGACAATCAGTATTCAACATTTGGATTGAAATCTTATTTTCGAGAATTATAAATTCAGTTTAGTTTAGGGTCGCGAAACTTCGCTCGTCTATATTTTTTATTAACTTCTGAAGAGGACTGTACTTAGGCCAAGTTATGCATGGAATCGTCGGGAAAAAGTTTCGTTTCGCGATACGCGGCTGCACACTCGACGGGATCCCATTTCCTTCTCGCGGGATATGCTTCGCATTTATGTCTGTCGGGTTTCGTTCGCTGTCGTAAACGACGGTTCGCGCCTCGAGATGTATTTTTCAGCCAACCTGCCTGCCTGCCTATCTCTTCCTCGGAATGTATTCGCTGTCAATTTTGATCGGCGAGGAAATTGATGACAAGACTATGCTGTTCTAACGGAAATATTGTTTCCCGTTAATTTCACAGGTACCGCGGCTTGTCTGATCATATACTGACGTCCTCTACTAATATTCTCCCTGTTCAAGGAATACGCTTTGTCTCATCATTTTTCATCCCTTAACCTGACAAGTTCCGCACTGAATACATTCAGAACGATAGGTCTACATAATTACAAATATATATATTTGTAATTGTAGATGATATATTAAAGGATTGAATTGGCTAGTCTCGAAATTCTGTTGAATATAATCGTCATTAAAAATGCTTTCGCTCTTCTTACGCGCAAATGATAAATCGTTTGCCCAAGTAATTATGAAAATTCCGCATTGCGAGAGGGGTACGGTAATGAAATCGTTTTCCCGGTCGCGCGATCACGAAAGGACGTATTAAAGGGACGTACAAACGGACGGAGGGAATCGGTGCTCGTTTAAGATCACGGTCCTCATAATTTATTTCCATAAACTGAAGAATTCGCCCGCTTAATTGGCAATGCGATTAATTCATATTAACGTCGTAATAAGGGTGAATATGCATGACCGAGGTTCGTTTTGCCCTCGCGTTCCCATTTCTCTTGCTCGCGGTTCGTATCTGCTCCCTCTTCTCTTCAATTAGTCACGCGAAAAGCATTCAACGGGGAAGAAAAGAGAGCGTGCGCGAAGCATATCCGAGAAATTACTTCCCCGTCGTTATCTGTGCTGAATTGTACCCGCGTTCCTGCTCGTCTAACCGTACACTAGTACATTCTACTTACGAGCGATTTTATACGTGAATGACCGCATTGATGTATTAGAAACGTACTGCGATCGTTAAAAGATTTTTAACCGTGTACTGGCTGACCATTTCCTGACGCGTTCTACTGATTTTCTCAATGTTACGATCGTTTACTAGATTTTTAATAGTGCAAGCACAGAAATGCCTGTAACCTAAAAGTACGAAATTAATTTGTGGCAAGTTTAGATTGGGAAATTTTCGAATTCCTGAGATATTTCAGTTAACTAATAGAACACGTTCGTTGATTGATTCCGGGGGTGAACGAGGTTCACGTATCGAGAGGCATGCGCCGTGATTGCACGTTTTATCGACGAACGAAATTCACGCAAGTCGCACGCAGACAGACAGACACACGGAGCCGGTTCTACGGGAAATTAAACTGCGGAGATAAAGTAAACAGTCGAGTCTGCTCGAACTGAAATTTATCGAAATATTGTCTAACGATAGAAACGTAGAGAGAGGAGAAATTTAATGGATCCTCGAACCCCTGTCATATTAACTACGCAGGAGTGGGCAAAATTAATGTTTGTACTTGGATAGATATATTAATTCCAGCTGGTTCGACTACCCCCCTTTTTCGGTCATCCATTGCGCGTATCGATATCATGCGAAATACGCGAGGATTCGTTAGACTAATTTAAACTCACGATACATTGCAAATTGCTAAGAATACGATCGGTAATAATTATCTCTGAAAACGAAATATTTTTAATTCCATCGGAATTGAAGCTTCATTAAATCGTAACGATGTAAGAATATAGGAAACAATGAAGATAACGAAACATACCATTATTTGTATGATGCATAATGGTCGACCTTTTCAGAGTTTTAATTAATTTGCACTTCAAATCATGAATTAGAGCATCGGATTGAAAATGAAACAATTTAAAATACGGAATATGAAATAATTTATTCAAATATTTGAATTATTACACATACACGTATAATGTAAATGACTATTGAACAGACGCGTTATGATAAATTTTAGCAGCGGATACGGGCACGAGCCAGCAAGCTCGCACAAACGCAAATTACACAACAGCGGACAGCGCGTCGCAGATTTCTGGTAAGACCAGTTTCGCCGTGCCAGCACCGCCGCCGTTGGCCTCCGCGGAGAAGGTACGCAGGCTTTCCGATGGGGAACACTTCCGGCAGCCGAACATCACCGTTTCCGGACACGCTACCGTCCAGAAACAGCTACAGGAAGCGCAGACCCAAGCTCAGGCGCAAGCACTCGCCGATATGATTTTGAAGGTATTCTTTTAATTAAATTGGTAGATATTAAAACAAAAATAGACAGGATATTTAATATTTGTAGGTATTCTATTACTGGCTGACTTTAATGAATGAAACTTAAAACCTGAGTGCTCTTGTTTTTTTCACCGACAGGTTTCGATATTTTTACATCAATTTGTATTCAATTTCCACATTTTTCATTAGTACTAACATATCGTGAACTTTAAAAATAAACATTTTTACCAAAATGGGAAATTTGATTCTTCAGGGCACCACCAAAATGGCTGTAAAAAGAGCAACGTCCGATCCTGGTCAACGATTGCACCTGAGCTATCAGTCGTCGGTTCAGTCTTCGACTAATCAGTCTCAACAACAACAGCAGCAACAACAACAACAACAGCAACAGCAGCAGCATAATCAGCCTCAAGCTCAATCCACGGTTACAGACAACTTCTCTATGACAGGCTATTCCGAAGATGGTGGTTATTTCAGTCCCAGCCTTCAGGAAGAAGTCTTTCAACAAGTCACCGCGGTTCCTGACAGCGTTCTGCTTCATGCTACCCAGTTGGATTCCCTTCAAGTGAGTAGATATACGTCTCCGTTTTTTGCTCTCGTTTACATTAACGTATATTATTTTATCTATTTTGTCGATTTTTTCAATTAACATTTTATTTTAATAATTTTATTAAAATAAAAAATATCACATTCATTTCACACACATTTTAGAAAACAAATCGTTTGTTTCTTTAAGATTAATTTTGTATATACCATCTCTCCGCGATTTTTATTAGTTCTCTGATGATAACAACGTTGAAGCTAGAGGTGAAGGATAGAGAAAGGGTGTTTGTTGCTCGTGCCAAGACACAATATCCTAGATCCTTTGACGACTAATTACGTAGTCCTGTTCTTCGTTCCGTGCCAAGCGTCGAAAACGCTTTAGTTTCAATTACGCGACGAGGCGAGGGGAAGTGGTTCTCGCCCTGCACGCAGAATTTAATAAAGCGAATTATCTAAGTAGTTGGCACCGGGAACGACGCCGGTTTACGCCGTTTCAAAACCATCGGAACATCTCCCGTTCTCTATTTATTTCGACGTCTTCCTCTGTTTTCTGTTTCATCCTATCTCTGAATTTCTCGTGTACGCAGATATTCGTGTGACGAGTCATCTCTCGAGATTTACATCGTCAAAGAACATAAAAAATGGACGAAACCGATCAGTTTCAGACGGCGAGCCTGCTACAGGAGCAGTCCAATGAACAGCTACAAGACATCACCCTGGAAGACCGATACTCCTCGCAGCACACGGTGAACCCAGACCTACAAGCGTTGGTAAATTCTCCGCTGCCAGATTCGTTGGCCGAGTTCAGCACGTACGGCGCCCAATACACGGAAAGTCCGCACCCTTTGCCTACCCAGTCGCCCCTACCGTCTCCTTTGACCAGACACGACAGTCCAAGTTTCACATATCCAACGCCGCCGGCGAGCCAGGAGGGTCTCCTGACGGGCAGCTTCCCTTTGTTAAGTCCGCAAGAGGACCCCGAGAGCGTGAGGCAAGTCTCGTCGCCGTTGTCCGCGGCTTTCTATGCAACCACCATGTCCTCGGCCGCGGCGGTCGAGGCAGCACTGAGCGAAGTGCTGCCAGGCGAATCCGAGGCGGACGCGGACCTTTACGGATCCGGTTCGCCGAATCCTCACTCGCCACTGCCAAGCCCCCTGTCAGCGACCCCGGCACCCTCGCCGTTGTCATCGTTACCGCCGTCCTCAGTCTCGTCTCCGGGCCCGGTGTCGTTCACGAGCTCTAGCTTCCCCGTGTCGCCGCATCACGCGCTTCAAAACCAGATGATGCCCAACTCGGAGGACCCGTTATTGTCGTCCACCCCAAAGGATTTCACCACGGCCAGCCGCAGACGGTTCGAGCTACAGTCGTACAAATTCATCACCAGTCAGAACTTGATGGACTTCGGGCTGGGCAACGGCAGCTTGGCTGGCATCGTGGTGGGCAACAACGGCGATTTCAAACTGATACAAACAGCCGGGCTACAAAAGGCGAACGTTCTGGTGCAAACCGGTTCCCTGAGCCCGGCGCTCGCCTTCAAAAAGGAAATGCGGCTGGCGACGCCGAAGATGGAGTCCGTCGCCGTGAACCTCGGCCTCAACGTCCAGACTAATCACCATTACAACTCGGGACAGTTCAATCAACAGCAAGTGGTGAACCCGACGAAGTTTCTCATACAGACGAACGTCGCTAAGAACAACAATTTGAGACAGAAGATCAATTGTAATCTACCGATACCGGTGGAGCAGATCAAGGAAGAACTGCTGGACGAAGACGTGTTTCTCAATCCCAGTAATGTGCCGACCGGAAGCCCTGTCAGACAGTGCAGGAAGAGGCCTCGCATGGACGGAGGATTGTACACGAGCACGTCTCATTCGTATCCGTCGAGATTGAGGAAGGCTTGTGACAGACATTGGGACAGCAGTTACACGCCGCCGCCAATTTTGGATCCCTCGCGTCCTGGACCGGGCCTGTACGCCAGATTGCACCAGTACGAGAGGGACTCCGACTTCAGCTCGGACGACTCGCAAGGGAACGACGGACCCCCGCCCAGGATCAACATCGGGACGAGGTACCAAGCGACGATACCGCCGATGGGCAGTGACGGGCACAGAGGAAAGGGCGACCCTGAGGCTGATCATCTACTCTGGGATCCTGGTATAAATAACGTGCTGACAGACAATGAACGTAAGTACTGTTAATCTTTCGAAACACTTGCTTTCTTTCACGATTGAAATTCTGCAGCATTTAATTAATTATGAAATTCTTATTTGGTTATAATTGAGATAAATGAAACTTGAATTGAGAAGTCGCAAATAATCTATGAAGGTTGATGGTCATTTCTATCTTCGGCTTTGTATATATATATATGCACATTTGAAAACTGTATATAATAGAAGTTGCCAACCATGTATATAGATTTTGTAAATAAGTAGTCTGCGTATATTTCCCTACCCAGTTTTTAAATCCCATTTAGAATCCCTTGTCGCGAAATTGCAAAAATTATATTTATAAACGAGTCTCTGCTGTGTTCGATCGTAATTACATCGAGCAGACACTCTCAGAGTGTCATCACGGACAGTCGATTAAATCAATAATCGAGTACAAAAGATTATAAAAGCAGTGATTATTTTATAAAGGGGAACAATCGTAATTATTATCGTAATATTAAATTGAATCAAGCGGTACAATTTTACCTGATAATAACAGGAACGATTAACAGATTTTCAGTGTCCGATGTTTCGCTGCGTACATTTTTATTGATCGAATTACACGTCAAAAGAATAAGTAGATTACGTCACGCACAAAGGTAGATCGTTAATAAATCACGTTGGGGCAGAGAATATTGCGATCATCCTATATAGTAAAACGCGAATCGCATTTAATTTATTCTTTCCCAGTTGTAAACAGGCCGCGTATGAAACGAAAACGTTTTGTTTTTGCAGTGGAAATGTATCTGCAATTTGCATGCTGCGCCGCGGTACCAGGTGGAGGCAGGAACAAAGAGTACGCGCTTCATCTGCTGCACATGTGCAAAGGAAATATTCATGTACGATTCTTTCAATTCACTTCCTTCTACTCTTACTTATCACCTTAATATCATTCGTCGAAGAAATATTCACGAACTGTACATAAGACGAAATTGTTACACTCTATTTCTATTATCTTTCGTTTCAATTTGGGCTTGAAATTTCTCACGTTGCTTCGTTGATTTTTATCAAACGTGACGAAGTGAATCGTAGTAAAAATGATGAATCGTCGACTTTCAGGAAGCGATGCTGAAGCTCATGAGACCAACGCCCCCGCTTCCGGCGGAGCACCCGTTGCTCAGCTACGAGTGCCACGAGTCGGACCGGTGGACGTCGCAGGAAATGGACGCGTTTTATCAAGGCCTGTTGAAGTACAACAAGGACTTCGTCGCGATCTCGCGGGACGTCGGCGCCAAGTCCACGAAACAGTGCGTGCAATTCTACTACCTGTGGAAGAGGCTCTGTCCGGACGAGTACAAGAGGCTGCGCGTACGCCACGGTAAATCAAAGATCAAGACGGAAGTGAAGGATTCCAAGGACACTAAAGAACTCCGCGACGCCATCGCCTCCGTTACAGAAATGGATTTCAATGACGACAAATCCATTCTCCAACGCACACTGGTAAGCAAATTAATTGTATTGGAATTGTCACGGGACAAACGAATATTTCATCAAAAAATTTCTAGGGAGATGATTAATGTTTTCTCTCAACACTTGGCACTTTGATAAACTCGTTTATTTACTTATTTAAGTGATACAATAAAATTTTGTCTTCTTCAGTTAAAGACGCACGAGAGAGAAAACTCGGCCACCTTGACTACCAGCGACGGAGAATTGAGATTATTCGCATACGACTGTCCAGATGTGAGTACCAATGTTCATTTCGCTCTTTACTATGTATTCTATTTTTTACCTATGTACAAGCTTTAGTTACAAGAAAGAAAGACGAGTAATTCCAAACAATAACGAATACTGCGACATTGTTATACAGAGTCTAAATGAATAGTTGGTTAGCAGCTCATAACTTTAATGTCACTGCTTTGATTAGAATTATATAATGTACGTTTACATGTTTTTTAATTATTCAACGAGCATAGACCGATCGTTAAATGTTTAGAAAATTGTCACGACTCTCGATGCGTCTTTTATTCGATCTTTAACGAGTATGAATCGTTCGATTCTCGCTACTCTAATGTTGTACTCTGATCAGTATAATCATTGTTTCGATACAACGAATGATCGATTCGTGCTCGGTTATCCAGACTACGTGGAGCGCGTGAACACAGAGCCACGCGTAGACGATATAACAACGCGTGAACGTTTTCTAAGTGTCGCATGTGACTTGTTGTTGGACCTTACTGTCTCGTTCCTTACTCTTTACTCTCACGCTTTGTTCTCACAATCTATACAAAGCCGCGTTGTGCGTTGTTGCGTGAAACCACCAATTTTTACTTACTTACTTACTTACTTACTTACTTATCTCTATCTGTCCGTCGTCGTTCGTCGTCGTCGTCGTCGTCGTACGTCGTTGTTGTTTGTTTGTGTTGTTTATTTTGGCTTTGTGTTTCTTTGTGTTGTCAGAGCTTTAGCGGAAGTGTAACAGTAACGATGGCCGGGAGCACCCAAACCGCCCAAACCGGCAATACCGGCCACGCCACAGTCAACACCAACTCACAAACTCACACTAGTTCTGAGCAACAACTACCCGTGCCCACCCCACTTCACTACCCCTGCAAGATTTGCGGGAAGTAAGTCTCCAATCTAATCTCTAAAAAAATTTATGGTTCATTCCATTATCGAATGAAAATTATTATTCAAACGGCGCCACTGACACTGGCGCTGCTTAATTGTAAGAACGTGGCGGGTACCAGTGGCAAGTATCGGCACCGTCCTCACAGAAAACACCATTCTATTCTTTCGAGAGAGAGAGAGAGAGAGAGAGAGAGAGGTGGTGAAAGGACGAACAACTGAAACCGTTTATGCATCTATTTTATCAATTTGTAGTTACAGTTTACGTGCCGTATACTCGTCGAAGGGTTGACGGATCTCAGGAACGTATTCACGATCAATTTGCCAGTGTACAATTAATCTTTCACTACAGAGACTAATCTGTGTAGAAGTTCCTGATATTTGTCAAAGCTTCGTATTACAAACATACTTCACAAAACGACTCATTACGATGCTTCTATCCTATTTGCTGCTGCCCTATTAATGTCGCCTGCTAATAAATGTTGTACTATATTAACATAAGACAGTTACTATACTCCGTGGCAGCAAGTTGGATACGTTTAAGAAAATATACGATACGTGTCTCCTAAGATTCGATCACCTTCTGTATTCGTACCATCCATTTAACTTCGATGTCTTTCGAACGTTCACAACGATAATTTTAATGTACATAAGAAAATATAGCAATGATTAGATGGTAGCATATGACTTTATCACGTTACATACAATTTTTTCCATGCACGCATTCATTAGACGAGTAGCATCACAATTTAGTTGAACATATATGACATTTTTTGGATCTCTTAATTTCACCGCGTTTGAATTACGTTTGCATTGCGATCGATCAAATTTATCTCCTCTCGGTACTAGCTTTTCGATCTCATTCATTTGCAATTGAAACCGTTCGAGTGTATACGGTTACACGGCACACATCAAGGTGAATAATTCCGTCGATAAACATTTAGAACGCTTACATACATACATTACCATAAAATCGATAATTAATGTTGCAACGCATCATACGCATGATCTGTCATTAATTAGCTCGGTGTTTCATACGTCGTTGTCCTCACGTGTGTACGTAAATAGAGAAACGCATCAGACGAGATGCCGTCTACCGGAGTTACAGAAATAACCAGAAAATCACCAAGGAGAATTAAGAAGCCCTATCCTTTTAGTACGAGAATAGCCCCAATTTGTTTCATAGTGTGTATGCCATTTATTTTATCGACCCAAAGCATCGTGTTCACCTTCGTCAGCGATCTGATTCATCCGAGGACAGTTGTTGCAAGGAGTATAAATCGTAATATAGTATCGTAAAATATAATTTGGATTTTTATCAATTATTTTGCCGATACTTTTTGCAACGACTGGATATATCGAAAATGGGACACCTGTTAACGGAACGCGGCGCTTTTATTAATCTTGCAGAGTTTTCAACAAAGTGAAAAGCAGAAGCGCGCACATGAAATCGCACAGGCCGGTGCCCTCGCCCGATTCAACGGGACAGGAATCTAAGAGGCCTGCCGGGCAGCAAACGAAGATGCAGCAACAGTCGCATCACACCACGCAACAACAACAGCGTCAGCAGCAGCAGCAACAGCAGCAATCACAGCTGCCGCAGCAACAACAACAACAGCAGCAGCAGCAGCAACAGAGTGGGATACCGTCGCAGACGCAAGACTTCAATCAGCAGCAACTGCCTCCAAGCAACGGCGACACCGGCGCTCAAAATCAGCCGCATTTATGGCACAACCCAACGACGCGGCTCAGGCCACCATAGGACGATGCCCAGCCGGTTCAACTAAAGTTACCTTAACGAAGGCTGTAAACGGTACGGTAGGAAAGTATTTTACGGTCCCGCGAGATTACATAGCCAGGCACTACTAAACAAACAAAGGCGGCCGTGTCCGCTAAACGAAGCAGTGGCTCGTGTGTAATTCGTGAAGCCTCGCACATTCTCACATCGCGTGAAACGTTGACCGACGAGGTAGCAAAAAGTAGGACACTTCCACGGGATAGATAATATAGTTCCGAGCGAGAAAAATGAAAACAAGAATACCTCCTGCACGCGCTATGGACCTGAACGGCGAAAAACCCCGCGTGTTCTCTGCCAGGCCAGCCATGCCATAAGTTAAACTTACGCGAATATCGAACGTGTGAATTTCAGTACGGAGGAGACGGCCGCGAGGAGTCTCTAACGTCGTTGACTTAAAAACGCGACCGCGTCGCCTGAATTCTAGTTTTTAATCGAATCTAGACCGAACGACGAAACGAGGGTGGAGGCTCCTCGCGGGTCGTTCACTTCGCGGCCGTGGTCGAAGCTCTGTTCAACGAGGAGACAGGGTAACCGGGAGTCCCACGTGGTATGGACGAACGAGTCCAGCGAAACGGATTGCCGATGGAATAAAATCGAACGTGCAAACTTTCCGTCTTTATTACTATTAAATTATTTTTTGTCATTTGTTTTTCTCTGACGACGAGACGGGGACTGATCGTCGACGAACGAAAATGGCCTAGAGAGAGGCTCTCTAACGAGCATTGAACACGCCGAATAGCGCTTTAAGTATCAGTTGTTTTTTTCTTGTCGATTATCAACGGCTAAAAGTTTGCTGAACGAATTAGATAAGGGAATTCAGCCACGATTATAGCACAATGTAACGATTATTCGCGGCTCTCGATGTACCTAGACATGGCTATACGCACGTGAAAATGTTCCCAGAATTGTGCCACAAGACATTGAACTGTTACCTGTTGCCTCTTTGTCGTTTCTATTTTCAACGTTCTAGAGTAATTTCTCTGTCTCTCTCTCTCTCCTTTCTTTAGTTTCTTTTTTATTTATTACGGACGGGAACGGTCCGCGAATCGAAATCGTTATGACCCGCGTGGGAAACGTAATAAACGTTCCGTTCGAAATTTCGAGCTTTAACCCGAGTGATGAACGATCGGTTCAGTAAATAGAAAATTCATTAGAATTTAAATGTATAGCGAGAAGTCTTGGTTTCGAGATGTCTTCTTTTCGATCGATTCGCGAGCGGCTCCTGTGACCATAGAAATTAATGTACGACTTGTTGCACGTTCGCTCTAGTTCTACTTACTTTAAATGAATTATTAAGTATTTAACTGTCGATAAGTAAATGACGTTACTCGTCATTAAACTGTTCTTAGATTTGTTGGGATTCATCCCCCTGCCCGCGACCATTCGCCCCAACCCCTTCCGAGATGATTTTTCTCTTTTGTTGCCTCTGTTACTTAATATTAATAATATATTAACTATATTTGTCAGAATAAATTTTAATATATATTATATATACATATTATATTATACATATGT